TGGCGGTAAGAGATTTGCGGACAATGAAGAAGTAATCGAAGCTGTAAATGGTTATTTTGAGGAGCTTGACGAATCAGTCTATAGAGATGGCATTAATAGACTGGAACACCGCTATGAGAAATGTATCAGCCTTGGAGGAGATTATGTTGAGAAATAAAAAAAAAAAATTTTTAAAAACCTTGTTTTTCTTGGTCAGGCCGGAAACTTATCAATCCACCCTCGTATAGTCGGATGATAAGGATAACGTGGGTAGAAAAGGTTAGAAATGAAGAGGTATTAGAAAGAATAGGAGAACAGAGGACTCTATGGAAGTCAGTAAAAAATAGGCGAGATAGGTTGGTAGGACACCTTCTGAGGCATGTAGGTCTAGTCAAAGACATATTAGAGGCTGAAACAGGAGTTAAGAGGGGTAGAGGTAGACCTAGATTGGATTACTGTTCTCAAATAGTTAAGGATGTGCGTTGTTCTAGTTTTAGGGAAATGCGAAGTTTAGCTCAGGATAGGAAAAAGTGGAGGTACGTATCCAACCAGTCTTAGGACTGACGACCCTATGATGATGATGATGATGTAATTGTAGTCGCAAAAGACTTAACATGCAAAGAAAAAGTAAAAATCCACCGTCATCTTATGGTATATATACATTAAAATTGGATAAAAACACACAAAAAAAAATAATTGTCACTACAAGTTTTTAATGAATTTTTAACGAGTTTGTTGTTTAAATGATGTCTGTCTTGTAAAATTGAATAAAATGTAAAGTCAGTCTTTATTAATAAATAAAGCCAATCGTATAGCACTGCTTACTAATTAATTACGAATTAAAAAAAAATATCTAAATGCTGTAAAAGAAATAGAGTTGTTTTTATTGACCATTAATTGGATGCTAATAACCCTATAATGATAATGTTGTAATGATATTGAATTTCATACAATTTTTATCCTCACAATACGTTTAGCTTAGAATAAAATGGTAATAAAACAGTTAAAAATTAACAACTGATCTTCAGGGGCATGTACCTTTAAAGAAAATACTTCCTTGCCCTCCCCCCTTGGTTACACCCTTGCATTTTATTTTTTGTTATTCTTCAACCTGCGATAAAAATTTGATAGAAGGTGTACCAATTAAGTCACTGGCTAGATATTCACACTACCAGTATATTGATCTGAATGGATTAGCATTATTGTTCAATTATTTTCATTGTGACATGTTTACGGTATCAGCTGCTTATGTAAGCAAATGTGTACCTAATCGGTTGATCAAAAATAGACAATGGAAAAAAGCATTCGAAATAATACAAAAAATTCTTAATCCGTTTTTCCGATACGTACTCACAATCGACCGGACATTAAATGTAATACCCACCAAAACAATTTAAGTTATCTATGTGTAACGTAGAAATAAGAAATGATTACAATATCAACAAATTAGGAACTTTAAATATTATACCTACATATTTATTTTATGAATTTTTTTACGTCTGATTTGTAATTATGTAACTTTAGCTTCTTTATAATAGATTTAAGTATTATAACAATGGACTGTTCTTCTATAATAATCTCGTTTAACGACAATGTAAATGCAAAATAATAATAGCCACTGTATAAATTAAATTGGTTATTATTTTATTTCCTAGTTGAGTACACAATAATGTATGTATTTACCTACCGTAAGGAGGAAATAACAATTTCGCTAAATTAAGTAATAATTGTCAATTTTCTATCACAATATCATTTCGCTAATTAATATACACACTAATATAGTATGTTTATTTTAATATAGTTTCTAGATAACTATACAAAACTATCATCAATCCGTAGGTTTTGTTTTATCTTTTTAAGAAATAATATTTGTGCTCGAAATTGATTAATTTGAAACTTCGGAAAAGGTTATTAAAGATGTCATGTTTGGATGCCTGGGTGTAAAATGTGGAAAAGAAAATTTAAGAAGTGTTTGCGATACGGTGTTATAGGAGGATGTTACAAAATACCATGGTTGGGAAAGGTTAGAAATGAGAAAATACCAAAAAGAGTAGGAGAACAGAGGGCGTTGTGGAAGTCAATAATAAATGGACAAGACTGGGTGGGGAGAACACTTTTTTAGATAGAAGAGCTGGTAAGACATATTGGAAGCAGATTCAGGAGGTAAGAGGGGCAGATGTCTACCTAGATTATATTACTGTCCGCTAATAGTTAGATGAAGAAGTGAAAGTGTGGATCCAACCACTTTTCGAGCTGAAGACTTTATGATGATGATGATGGATTTCAGATTTTTATGTTATTTTAGTCATTTTTTATACGACTACTATTTCATAATTTATTCAAATGTTCCCTTTTAAAATGTTTTGCTTTTTAAAACTTATAAAACTAAAAAGTCGGAGGATAATAAACAGACAAATGGGCGATTTTTTAAAGTCTATTGTTTTTTCTTTATGTTTAATTACCAAAGCACAGACCGGAAGATTGAAGGCCAAATTATTATCCAATGACTTGAAAATTTTGAACGATTCATTTAGTCATCATCACCATTTGTTTTATCTATCGTCCTCTGTTGATTCATATGTAATTATTGTACTTACCACTTCCTTCGTCTCCCAAAATATGCCCCCAACCCCCGCATTGTATTTTAGATCCATCAGGATTTATTAAAAGAGTGTTTGAACCAGTTCCTGATATACAAACAACTCCCCCTTTGGACGATGTAGCAGCAATTGGCCCCTCAGTATCACTACCCACCGCGTACCTTTCGCTAAGGTTTGGATAATTTTCCAATAAACCTCTAACTAATTCCTGGTTTAATTCGTCTACTTCACAGCCGGTCAAACTTAATCCCTAGAAATACAACTAGTAAAATTTACGTATTTATTTCATTATTAAATGTAAAATTCTTCACCCTTTTCATTAAAAATATTAAAACATAACAACTCAACGTGATACATTATTTAATACAGGATAAATGTCAGTAGGTACATAGTCACCTAAAATTTCTACGCATTTAGTTTTATTAAAAAGATTAGATTTCAAAGCAAAATAACTATGCATTATGAAAACAATTTGTACCTAAATAACGGTCGACAACGGTGTTTTGTTGTATAAAAATGTTCTTACAAAAGTCAACGTACTAATGCGGTTAGGGGTACATCTTCTGGAATTCCTGCTTCCCTTTTTGCATCATTTGTCATTTGTACGATATTCTTACGGCACTGCTCCATTCCTAAAAGGAAATAGCTCGTTCCTGATTTTTCTAATTTTACAATTACTTGGCCGCTCGAATTTAGAAGGACAATGGTTGATCGAGAACCACCCCTAAAAATAAAATTATGATTCCTAATTTATAACTACAGTACATTTCATGGTAGATAAATCCTTTAATCATTAGATACAAGTGCAGTCCCAAGTTCTATAGTCACAAAAGATTAAGCAGATAGAACTTCAGTAATAATCTCTGCCAATAAGTTATTTTTGGTTAGTTATTTATCGAATCTAACAGATATGGATAGCGATTTCAATACTATTAGACCTCATCAGCACGGTATGGGCAGTCTCAAAAAGTCACTGGTCAATTTGAAGAGCTCTTTAATCTAATTATGACAATATATCGTCACCACACCGATAGAACACTGAGATAGAAAAATTAGTTTCTAATCAAAATATTACCATTAGAAAATAATTCAGCCCGTATTATTGTAGTGCAGTAAAACATATGCGATAAGATAAGGGCTGTCATTTTCCTTTACCAAACTAAAGCTAGGCTAGTTGAAAAAATTAAAGGATGGGAAACAACAAGTGTAAAACAACATATGAAAAGATAAGCTCATTGGGGAATCAAGGAAAAATGATGGAATCCACTTCTATTTACTCCATCAGGATTCTCTAACATTCATTTTAAAACAAAACCATTTTTATTCTTACAAAAAAATAGTGGTGTAGGTAGTGATTTTGACATTTTTAAGCATACAATCACGATTAGAATTTTATCAGTCATGATAATAAATGGAATTATAAAAAAAAAACAATTAATATACGCTTAATAAGAGGAAAAGCTCCTAACTGGGATAAATTTAACAGAGTTGATAAAAACTTGTTATCAATATAACAAAACCAAGTGAACTAAAAAAGCAATGCCCTATTATAATTTATAGCTCATTGATCTTCGTTTGTTCATTCAACTTATTATTTATTTTTTTCTATTTGTCTTGACGAGCGTTATTATGAAATAAAATGATAATTTTTGTTCTGGTGTATTTTCTATTTTATTCTAATTCTACGCAATAAATAATACTTCAATCAATGTAACATTATCTTTAAGAAATTGTTGATAGGTTCCTATGTATAATTATTTCAACAAAATAATAGACACTGATTAAAATGTACAATACATGCATAATATCTAATACTAGAAAATAAAAAAGATACTTTGGAATAAGTTAAAAATTGCATAAAAATAAACTAAAGAAAAGAATGTTTAACAGACAACAGTCTGATAAAAGCGACATGCAAATAATCCTAATGTCAGCAGATAATGCAATAATCTAGGATATGTCAATATCGGTGTATTGTGGATTCATACATTATTTTTCAAAGTATACATTCAAAAAATAATGTTATACAAAACAGACCACTGAAGATAACCATAAACATTAATAGCTTAAGACAGAACAAAAAAATAAGACGCACGAATTATTTGGTATGCTTCATTTTGGAATTAGTTATTAATTAATGTAAGTAGCATATCTGTACACAGGTAATTTTATTAACAAAATTAATGATCAATATTACGTAATCTAATAAAGTATCATAAGTTCGTCGACTGTTTTCATGGTCAAACAAGAATTACCACAATCTTATGTTAGGAATTCCGTACAGATATAGAATTACTAATCTTCCACTTAAGACCACAGATATTAGAAATTTTTCTATTTCTATTAGAAAATACCCGCTTATAAAATATAATTTATATCATCTTCCTGAATATTGGTTACATGTTACAACAATATTATATTTAAATTTACTTTTTTTGGGTATTCCCATTTCTTATTTTATCATGGTACACTTTCTGATGTATCATTTTAATGTCATAAAAGCTGATATAGTAATCTTTAATTCATTTTAAAAGCGCCTTACAATTATTATGATCATTTAATATAGGCAGATACCCGATAAAATTAAAATGATAAATTAACTAACTTATTGAATTATTAAAAATTTATTATTTCCTNACCTGTATACTTCGGTTGGGAACAGATATCGTGCGGTACACGAAGAAAACTAAATTTTTATGACAAAGCAGAAATTTGTAAAATTTTCGGTGGCAAATGACTGAATTTGCCGTAGGAATAGTAGAATTTATTACAATAGGTAACTTGTAATAATCTTGTAAAAGTTTCTTAATTATTACAATTAAATTTGTAATATCAACTAAAATATCTAGTAAATTTATTTCTGCTGGGATTTTATTTTTACAAATTCCAAACTGTGATTTTTATTATTTTCGCTTACGAAGCAACGGGCTAGAGGGATAAATTGTGAATATATTGCTTTAATATTTCGGTAAATTTTCGTTTTTCATTTTGTCCGAGTGTGTAAACACTTTTCTGAATCAAATTGATAAAATTATAAAAGGTAACAGATACACTAGATAAAATTCGAGATACAACAATCGTCTGGTTAAAACTTTTCTGAATTGATTATAATTTCAGTTACTTGTGCACATGTGGTATTAATTGTGTAAGCAAAATAGATAGGCGTGCACATTCATATATTAATAAATAATTAAAAATCACTTTCACCGATAAACCGATAGAATACTTTTGAAAGTCACATATTTGTGAACAAGTTTAAAACTTGACGCATTTATACTATCTCTGGCAAAGAATTTGACTTAGGTCCTAATTCACCTAATTAAACAAAAGTATTTTGTGACTTTCGTTACTATCAGAAACGATTGAAGCCGAATGACTTTATTTTAAACAGCAAAAGATAAATTCGTAATTTTTATCAATTTTCGTTCATTACAAAACAAATTTTAAAAGTACGTTAAACTCTAACAAAAAAAAGACATTCGCAAAACTAGAGTAATATTCTAGTAATATTATCCAGATAGCCAATAATTAGTTAAAAAATAATCAATGTTGCATTTTGTTACTCAACTACAATAAATAGTTGTTATTTTAAATAATAGTAATACATATTAAATGTGTTAGATAAATTTAAAGTAAGTTTATAAAAAAAAGATTGAAGAAGAACATACATTTAAATCATTTAAACGTTTAAAAACTACTTTTAATGAATATACGTTGACACTGGTATTGTTCTTTTTATCTTTAATGATAATGATGATCAAGGCAAAATCGAAATTCAGTTCAACACAATGCTTACGTGGGTTCGGAAGCAAGCTCGAATTTGTCGACAGGCGTTCTTTTTGAGAATGAAAATAAATATGTTAGCAGAATGCTTCAAATATTTAGTAAAATCAATGGTACATGATTTAATGCCTATTTTTAGTATCTCTTAATCTCTTATCCATTGTAAAACAATTTATTAAATGATTTACTCATTTCAGAAAAAAGAAAAGAGTAAAAATCATTTTAAAAAAGAATCAGATATATATTTATTTAAAAGTATTAAATTTAATATGCTAAACTTTTATTGGTACCTACTACCTGCATATAAATCAAAATTTTTTTGAAACGATTTTAATTTTAAATAATACAATATTAATTAAACAAATAATTAGCGTAAAAATCATACCCTTCTATTCCGCCAATAACTCCGCAATCCATATTATTTCTTTCACAAAAATTAAAAAAACAATACGAAAAATTAGTTCGCACTTTACAACATAACTTCGTGTATACTTTCACGTCCAGCAACGAAAAGTCAGGATAGACTTGATAATACCAGAATACACAACGTGCGCTTAAAAAATATCTACAGGCGTATTATACATCGTGAATAAAACTTTTTAAATTAATTGAACACTGGCGACATCTCTCACCCACGAGTAAAACCGCAAGGCTGGAAACGCAAGTAATAAGATAGGTATTTTTTATACTATCGAGTTCTTTGCCTGTTTATATACAGTATACATAAAACAGCTTGATCACGATTTAAAAATTTGTTCGTTAATTATTTATATACCAAACACTAATCTAGCAAATATTGTTCTGTGACTTTAATCACTCGTAGATAATTATTTAATTATTATTTTAAAAAAATAAACGGGCAACAGGATAAGATTGGCAAGTGCGCAGAGTTAAACTGTAGTGCGCATTCTTTTATACGTCATTAAAAAATTAAAATCATGGCTGATCCAGTAGAGCTGCGTATGAGTGTTACTTCAATAAAAAGAGTGGATCCATATGTGAAAGAGATTTTGGCAACTTCAAGCCATGTGGCTCTTTACCAGTTTAATCCTCTAATAAATGAATGGGAAAGAACAGAAACTGAAGGTGCTTTATTTTTGTATAATCGCAGTGGTGAACCATGGCACAGTATTATGATCATGAACAGATTAAACACCAACAATTTAATCGAGCCTATAGTAGAAGAATTTGAACATCAGATGCAATCTCCCTTTCTACTTTATCGAAATTCAAAGAATAAAATTTACGGTATTTGGTTTTATAATCGTGATGAGTGTGTGAACATAACCTATTTACTCGAATCTCTAATGGAAGGTCTCAAAGAAAAGCAAACAGAAAAGACTAAGAAACGTGAAAATCGAGTGGACATTTTTAGCATGTTGACAAAAGCTCAAGAAGAATTCACCAACAAAACCCCCAACAAAAGTGACTATAACAGCAAGACACCAAATAAGAGTGAATCTGTGCCTCAATATTCTTCAACTCCACGAGCACCGGACGTGACCTCGCAAAGTGTAATGGACTTTTTTGCAAAGGCAAGCACGAAAAATGTTACGCCGGCAGTACATGTACAGGGTAGCGAAGGTGACAATCTTCTACAGCGTTTAATGAGTAATCCAGCTCACAGTGTAGAACATATCGAGAAACAGCAAAGATCTATTACTCCCCATGAAATTTCATCTCGAAGACAAGTAGATGCTAGACGCAGCATTCCTATTAGTTTTAATGGAGATAAAAGTTTATCTCGAAATGGACTGAATGATATTCGAATTGCATCTCCTAATCAACCATGCACTTCTCCTTTATCAAGCTTTCTAAATCAAGCCCAGAATTTGACGCTGGATGATGTGGATGTTACTGGTACATCTCCTTTGGCAAATTATTTAGAAACCCCTCAAAAACTTCAACTTATGCCTCCCATGATGTTTGCCTCTTCATTTTCAAATAAAGATGCCCAGGAAGCAGGCGGCAGCTCTGATCCATGTGACTCTGAGAAAGGAGTTGATTTATTAACTAGAAATCAGATTTTACAAGCAATGACTTATCTTCTTAAAAATGACCCTGATTTTATAACAAAATTGCATGAAGCATATGTTAAATCTGTTAATGAAAAATTAAAATTAACCCAACAGAATACTGGTATTAAGTAAAGTGGTTGGACGTTTTAAATATGTATTTTAACATACTCCAAATGTAATTTTATGAAATAGTACTTGTGGTTTTGCTTTATACATTTATTAAAAACTTTCTAAACAATTTGAATTGTTTAGGAATATTTTTCCTAATTACATAATTATTTCCTTATTGTTTCTTTGTCTCATTGATTATAGTTGGATTTATTTTAATTGATTGACTAATACTTTCCTATCATTTTAATTAAATGTATACCTCCACTTATTGTCTATATTAACAGTGCAGATTGAATGTCTACAACATTTTGCCAAGTTTATAAAATTGTAAACCAAGTATTTGGTTGAGTTGGTTGTAAAATGTTTGGTGTTTACCATTCCTTTGTTTTCCTATTCATTTGAATGCCTTAAAATCTGATAAAACAGCTTTAATACTGTTTTCATCTTTTAAATAATTTTGATTACAATCAGTATCTTCTAAACAGTTATACTTAAATGTAATAATTGCGATAAAAGATTTATGAAACGTATGCATTAATTAGAGTTAGCTCAGAATGAAGTAAAATAGTTGTTTAGTAGGGCAACTCCATATTAATGTACTTACCACATAGAGATAATGAACTAGTAAAAACTTTACTAGTCGTCCAAAAACTGGCTTATATACTAATTTATTATCTTTAAAATGCTTCTATGAAGGTATTATATTCACTGTGTTGGCAAACTTTACATATACTTAAAATTTTGTCTATAAATAATGAATGACTGTTGTGATAAATTCCTATATTGTTAAATAGAAATTATTAAGACTGGCAATTGGTGTAGCTTATCTCGTTTGTTAAAATAAAACTTACAGTAAAAAGAATTGATCAGCATGCGTTTACTTTAAATTTTCGAAATTGAACGCTCGGTATATGTGTGGCTCTTTACTAATGGAAAGTACATATTTATCATATTAAAAATACAGACTTCAATATACACAATATTTCACTATTTCTGTTCATTTTTTAAATTTTTTTGCTTGAATTTAGATTGGTCGACAGAAATGTACGCATATCGCATCTTATCATTTTTTAAATAAATAATTTTTCTCTATATTTCCGGGTAAAATAAAAAATATCATTATAATATAAATCTATGTGGAGGCACCAATGTTCTCTGGGACTAATTAATAAGTTTAATTAAATATTATTGTTCGCCATCCAAACGTTTACTTTAGTAAATAGTAAGTTTGAAATTCGTGATAATTTTTAAATGTTCGCAAACGATGAAATGTATTTTTTAGATTTAAAAGCTTGAATCGTTATATCTAATCATTTAAGATTTTGCGTTGTAGTGAAACTGTAGTGTTTATCTAAAATAGAAGATAATTAAACGCCCTGTATCTCATGTTTTACTAACCACCCTGTATATAATCGATGTTCAAATAATTGCGCATGCTCAAGTTGTTTAAAACAAGTAATTGATTAATGTAAGTTTGAGGTTATTTGCAACAAATTTCACTTTAAAATGCTTAAAACATAAAGTATTTAAAAGTCGTTTTAAATATTTGGGTAATTATTTTATAATGTCACGGTCCATTCGAGCAGAAACTCGAAGTCGAGCCAAAGATGATATTAAAAAGATTATGCAAGTTGTTGATCGAGTTCGACATTGGTAGGTTTAAGAAATTTATTTTTATGTACAATATAAAAAACTCATCATTTCTAGGGAGAAAAAGTGGGTTACAATTGGGGATACTACAATGAAAATTTACAAATGGGTACCTGTTGCTAATAGTGATGGGAAAAAACTGAAACACAAAGATGCAAATAAGGAGAATCTAAGTCGTAAAACAGCAGCTGTTGAATCAAGTAATTCTAGTTTTAGTATGGCTACAGAAGATTCAAATACATGTGAGTCTATTACATTTGTTATGCACAATGTAATATTCGTTAAATTATTACTTTTTCTTTAGGTTTTTCAACTGTAAGTGATCTGCAGGGTCCTACTGATTTTTCTTCTCACGTTCCATTTTCTGATGATTCTAATTCACAAGGTTGTGATGTACCTGTGAAAAGAATAAAAAGTGATTAAAGTTTTGTTTATTTTAAATTTATATATTTACTTAATGATACTGAACATAACTAATTATTACCATGTATGTGATTAATTAATTGCTTTTTAAAATGCAGTAATGTTTTATAAACATTGCTGAAGATATAATTGTAGTTTTCTTAATTAATTGATTAATTTTACTTATTTAAATTTAATTAAATGTGAAAAAATTAATGTATATTTCTGTTTATGCGCCATCTGTGTAAAATACTATGTAGTAGAAGATCGTTGGTATGCAGCATTAAAATTTTCTTTGTTTTACCTTTTTTGTGAAATTCATATAAAATAATTGAAGTTTACGTTTTAATTGAAAGCAATTCCTTCTTTGGTTAATTAATGTTTGTTTTCTTTATAACTTTTCTTAAATAACTATTGCTTTAGTTGTTGTTTCACAGATGGCAGATATAATATCTGTAATTTAAAATAGATAACGTAGTAAAATAGTAACTGATTACATATACTAAGTCGATTACTCTTATGTTTAAGGGTATGATATTTTAAACCTGCAATAGGGCTGAATTTTAGAATTTTATATAAATGAACACATTGCTCTAGTTTTGATTATTTTTCATAGTTTATAATTCGTTGCATAGATGGCAGATAGTGCTCTATATTACGGAAATATAAACTTACTAATATTCGCAACATATTTTAAATTAATAAAGGGATTAATTATCAAAATACATATGTGAATTTATAGTTTTCTTGGAATTAATGATATAGTAATAATATGTTTATAATTGTTAATTGTAAAAATAAGAAAAGTAAGCTGTGCATTTTTATTCTGTCAAAAAGTATTAACCATATTAATATTAAAGCGTCACTTTTGCATGTATTTTTAATTTATGTGCTATAATTAAGTGTGTAGGACTTACTGATAATTCTGATATTAAAAGGATAATGAAAACATCCATCGCTGTTGGGGTAAGTTTTATTTAGTAGAGTTTGCTACTTAATCATAAACTTTTTTAAATGTTGGGAGTAGGAGAGGAAATTTATTTCACTTTTACGTATTTAGAAAAACCAAATATTAATCGAAATAATTCAATTGTTCTGTAAAAAACAGAAATTTCAAATTGTATCATATTATGTATCTAATTAGAATTTTGGCTTCAATTTACGAAATATGCAATAATTTTAGTGCCTTTTTCGAAAGCAGAAAGTAAATATCCTCTAAGGTAAAATTTACATATCACGGGTTCTTGGAAAACTTACATGAAAAAATCGGGGGTTGTAAACCTTCTCTTACAAATAAGGTTCCGAATACAGAATTTTGCGTTTGTTGTCCTGCCCTAGTTTTATGATCAGTGACAAACTCACGGTAATTATTTGGAATTGGACTCCGAACAAAACTCGCTCTAAAAAATTTTACACCCTCTGGGGACCATTTGAATACATGAAAATAGTAAATTTTTAATGGAGGAAGACATTTTTAATAATCATTTATAAATAAAAATGTGATAGAACTTTTTATTTCCCGTAAAAAAATGAAATAATTATTCCCATTTTTGTTGTTTATTTATTTATATATCTGTATATATCTGTGTGTCACGTTTATTATTCTAGGGTTTAAACGTTCCACCGTCAACCTAAAAAGGTAGAACATGCTTTCTTTAAATTAACCGTAAAAAGTGTCTCCTCCGAATTAAAAAACGTATTTATACCCTACAGAATAGTCTTCAGGGGATTTAATTTTTTTTTGGGATGATAACAGCTAGAGCCCCACCTCTAAATAATATAATCACCAAACTCGCAGAGGCTACGTACCTTATTTACCGGAACTTATTATTTACAAAAAAAATGTATTAAACATCTATCGATTTTTGTTGGAAGGTTTTCATAATTATGTCATTTTAAGCTATTTCTAATAAGAAAAAGTTAAATTTTCTAAAAAGTCGTGACAGGGAAGTTTTATCCCATCCAAGTACAAACAGAAATTAATATTTAAAGAAGACATTTAAACTAGAAAATAAAAATAGGTAGGCATTTTGGATTTCGTATTGTATTTCAATTATTTCGAATAAAACATCTCTATTTTTACGGCGTAATGAGGATTAAATTCTTAACTGATTAAAACTTGATAGTTCGTATAGGTAAAGGTAAAATTAATCGATATGAATAAATTGCGGAGTTGATGATACACTGTTGTAATAATTGTTTTTCAATTTGACGTTTTGTTTGGTATAAACGTCCGTTTTATAGCGTTGCGTCGTTATTTCTTCGGGGTTGTGATGGCGTTCTCGAGTGATTTAATCAACTTGATTGTGAGTAATAAAAAGTCGGACGATGAGCGTTGCCGATAAGCAGCTGAATCGCTTACCGACGCTTCTTAGTGGGATAATTGAAATGCGCTACCCGCGTCGCATCGCAGCCCTTCTTTTCGTTCCCGTCTCATTCTTCTTCTTCTTATTTCTCTTGGTAGGTACCGTCATTGTTTCGATAACGCCACGAAACGTCCCTTTTAAAGAAGAACAATCACTTTAACGATTTCCGGCCAATCGAATACATATACGGGTTGATCATTCATATAAATAATAATGTTCTATAGCAGAAGAAGTGGCGATTTTAGGTATTTAGGGAGTCAGATAAGTCAGGACGGAAGGAGGAGTAGGGATATAGCTTAAGGTTGAATTGCCGTCAATAAAAAGAAATTATTTCTAATTTCGAAGAAGATTGTTAAAGGTGTATGTTTGGAACGCGGCGCTGCACGGGTGTGAAACATGGACGGTGGGCTCGGCGGAAAGAAAAGGTTAGGAGCGTCCGAAATGTGGTGTTACCTGCGAATGATGAGGATACCATGGATAGAGAAGATTAGAAATGAATAGGTATTAGAGAGAATAGGAGAATAGAGGACTTTATGGAAGTCAATAAAAAATAGACGAGATAAGTTGGTATGACACCTTCTCAGGCATGAAAGTCTAGTCAGAGACATATTAGAGGCAGAAACGGGAGTTGAGAGAGGTAGAGGTAAGACTAGATTAGATTACTGTTCACAAATAGTTAATGATGCGAAGAGTAACTTCAATTTGTCAGAGGGTGCCCTCGAATCTTAAGTGAGAGATTTTGAATTATCTACAGATCAGTTACGTTGGTAGTTTTACGATGGGGTAGGTAAATACTACAGGATGTTGCGATGGAGTTTAGGCTATCATCGAAAAAGCTCAACCTTTAGTTTCATCAGCTTTTACTACTGTCAACGAAATTTAATATCTCGAAGTGGCAAATTTGAAGCTATTTTGAAAGACGTAGGTTTCTCTTCTGAAATTATTATCAAATTTTTCGTCCATTATCCATTATGTCTCATATGGTCCCCGGCATCCTAGGACCCCCTCGACGTTGCTCCCATGTGAGCCATAACCGAAAACACCACTTTTCTAACGACATTAGATTAATCTTTAGAGGATTTGGCTTTTGTAAAATTTTACTTACTACTTCTTTAGGAGATTGAAAAGATTTTAGCGAAATTCACATTTTTTTGCCTTGCAACTGGAATAATACAAAAGTTACCTGATTACTAAGTCGTCTAGTTAAAGGATGGAACTAACTTAAGTGAAGCTAAACAATTCCAGAAAAATTCTTAAAAATGTCATTTCTACGCCTTCTTAATACTTTTTATTACAACCAAACACATCGTAAAGATATATTTCATAGTGCGAAGGAACAGCGTCGGATGTAATGTAGATTTTAGGGTAATACTAGGGACTTTTTCCTATTTCGTAGCTAGTCCATTTTTCAGTTGCCTAGCGAAAAACGATTGGAGCCGCCAAGCTGGCGGTACACATAGCGTATCTCGAAACAGAGAGGGTGTAGAAAAGTGTAAACGCCATAATTTGTCACTAGTTTGTCCTAAAGGTGGTACATACTTTTAGAAAAAATACGTATATATATAACTTTGTCGTACTGACTTGATGTACGTATGGATAGGAAAGGTTAGAAATGAGGAAAAGTTTTAGACAAAGTAGAGGAAAAGTGGGATGGTAGAAGACGTTGTTAGATATGAAGGGTCAGATAGACGTATTAAAGGCAGAGTCATAAGTAAAGGGGGGTAGAAGAGAACCTACTTTGCTAGATGTTGAGATGATTTAGTTTGGGAAATACTGACGATCCTGTAATGATGATGAGAACTTTGCCAAATTTTGTTAAATGACAAAAAACATCAATACAAAAACTGTTAGATTTAATCACGTTTGGAGATTACGATATTATAACTTAAAGTTTATCAATGTAATAATAATAGCGAGAGCGATCCATCTAATTCTAGTATCTGTACGACAATAGACATGCAATTACGTCATATGTACGTATAATTATAGGTAAGGTAGGTGGAGATGTTTTCTAAAAAAAACTAATCGTATAAGATGTATTTTCTTATGTTTGAAGATTAAATTATAATATAATAATAATAATAAGTAGGTATATATAATAATAAACGAGTTAACAAATATGATAAGATAAGTACATAGGTTGCCTTAATTAGGTATTAATTGAAGGATTTCATTACATACGGGCCGTTCTTTATATGATTTTGCAAACTTAAATTGTACTGGGCTATGACTGACTTGACTTCTTCCATTTTTTCGTTCAAAATTGTTTGTTGCCCATGCTCGTTAATTTCTTCTTCGATGAGAATGATTTCACTTTCGGTACATTCGATTTGTTTTTCTAAATCGAGGTATTGACTGTAGCATTCATTTTTGTTCAATTTATCGTCGAGAAATGCAACATCCTTTTCGCCAGCAGCAATGTCCACTTTGAGCCCGTCTAATTTACCCTGAAGGGCTTTATGCTCTTTCTTAGTTTTCTTGCATTGCTCTTCTAGGGAATTCTGCTTTGCTTCAACATTTGTAAAGCTCTCTGTTTGAACCTCTAGATTGGAAATTTCATTTTTAAGGCGCGTGACGTTGTTTCTATCGATTTCCAGTAATGAATTGATTTTTTCACATTGCTCTTGAATATAACGAAAATGTTTATTAAGTTCGTCAGTGGTGCATTTGTGAATTTGTGAAAAAGTGGATTCAAATGAATTATTAAGTTCTAAGTCGTTTGTGCTCTCTTTTATAATTTGTAGAATGGTAATGATTTTTTTCTGAGTTGTTTCGATCTTGTTGTAAAGTTCGATGATCTTGTCATCGCTGGTGTCCAAGAAATCCAACATGATTTCTTCGCGTCTCTTCATTTCTTTCATTTTTTCGATTTTTTTGTGATTAATCGTTTGTGGTTCTTCTAAAGATTTTATTTCTTCCATTTTTGTGTCAATTTCTTCATCTAGGTATTGTTTAGTTTTAGACATTTGTTCAATGTCATGTTTTGATTTTCTTAACTGTGTCAAAAGAGCCATCCGTTGGTCTTCATGGGAAGGTATTCGCTCTAGCTCATTTTGTAGGGTTTGCTTCTGCTGAACGTTCAGTGCGTATAACCGGAGAAGTTCGTGTTTTTTTTGTTTCATGTGATTGCTTTTAAGACAGTCACTCAGTCTACTGATAATCTTGCATTCGCGGTTTATAAGTCTTTGTTCTTCCGATATTTTGTCGAGGTATTCCTTATTTTTCTGTAAAAGTGTTGTATATTTTTGACGTTCTTCTTCAGACATATTCTCTTCGAATTTCGATTGTTCTTCATTAAGGTTATGTAATTGGTTTTCGAAGTCGTTTAGAATGCGTCGTCTTCTAACGATTAAATTTTCAAGATGATCAATTTCTTCCTGAGAATCTTTACATTTTTCTTTAAGTTTCTTCGTTCCTTTTTCTATGTCGTCTGGTGTATTTTGTGCCATGTGGAAGTCTATGGCGTTATTATACACAGAGAGTAGTTCTTGATATTCGGCAAATCGCCTAGCTGTTCTTTTTGCAGTTTTCTTTAACTCGTTTTTGTTTGCCGAAACGACTGCACTGTTTGAAATCTGTCGTTGCATATTAGCCATTTCTTCTCTGATTAAATTCATTTGGGCTTGCAGTTTGGAGATGTAGAAACGTTTGTCTTTAATAGCTCTGGACTTTCCGTGGGAGGAATACTGCAAAAGTGACGTAGGTTTGGGCGTGATAGGGTCTTTAAGTCCACATTGGGATGTAGGTCGAAGTGGATGGGAAATAGTGAAACAATTTCTCACAGGTTTATTAAATTGAGTAGGATATTTTCTTGGATCCATTTAAAGTGTTTGAAAAGTTTATTAAAATATTTGACAACTGACAACTTTGTTAATTAATCAAATTAGTNTCCAAACACTTACAATGAAACTGCCCCCACAACTATTTTGTTTTACTTTCGAACACGTAGAAAGAAAAAAAAGGGACAATTGCTAGACGGACTAAAGGATCAATATTGCGGGAAAATTGCTTAGGATGAAGTCCAAGGAAAATTACAATTGAGAGTCCTATTAAGCGGACATCGTAAAAACAGGTATTGGGATCCGTCAAATGGGCATACACCATCTGGTGGCAAAATTTATAACTCCACTGAGGGAAAAATTTACATAGGAACTGTGCACGCAAATTGTAAAATTGTTTATTAAAATAATAAAAACACGTTAAAAAAGTAAAAATTTTTTTGATGATGGAGTCGACGAAGTTTTCTTCTAAAGTTAAATCAAATAAAAAGTTAATATGTTCAGCGAAAAGCTGCAATAGCACTTCAGACATAGATCTTCACTCTTCACCTACATTAACTACTTTCCAATAAAAACTAACCGTTTTATATAT